AGCTACTCTCCATTCAGGAGCTCTGGTAGCATAGTGCCTAAGGCACCTGACTGCTAACCAGAAGGCTGGTGGTTCAAACCCACCAGCCACTCCTCGGAAGGAAGGTTGGGCAGTCTACTTCCGTAGTGATACTGCCTCGGAAACCCAAAGAGGGGTTGCTATGCGTTGGGTCCGACTTGATGGCACATAAGAAAAAAAAACTCTCCATTCAAGGGCAAGTTTCAGAGTCTCTTCTGACATCCATTTTGGTTGTTTCTTCCTTTCCTGTCTTTTTAGTGACCTTTTGCTTTCTTCATGGATGATATTCTTGATGTCATCCCACAATTCCTTTTGCTTTAGGTCAGTGGTGTTCAATGCAACAAATCTATTGTTTAGGTAGTCTCTAAATTCAGGAGATATAATCAAGGTCATATTTTGGCTCTCGTGGACTTGTTTTAATTGTCTTCAGCTTCAACTTGAACTTGCATATGAGTAGCTAATAGTCTGTTCCACAGTCAGTTCCCGGCCTTGTTTTGGCTGAAGATATTGAGCTTCTCCATCACCTCTTTCCACAGATATAGTCAATCTGATCCCTCTGTACTCCATCTGACCAAGTCTACATGTATAGCCACCATTTATGTTGTTGAAAAAAAGGTATTTGTGATGAATAAGTCGTTGGTCTTGCAAAATTCTATCATGCGATCTTCAGTGTCATTTCCATCACCAAGGCCATGTTTTCCAACTACTGGTGATTCTTCTTTGTTTCCAACTTCTACATTCCAGTTACCAGGAATAATCAACACATTTTAATGGTATGTCTGGTCAATTTCACACTGCAAAAGTTGGTTTAAAAAAAAAAAAAGTCTTCAATTTCCTCATATTTGGCTTTTGTGGTTGGTGCATAAATCTGAGTAACAGTAGTATTAACTGATCTTCCTTGTAGATGTATAGACATTATCCTATCACTGACAGCATTGTTCTTCAGGGATTTATCTTTGGCATAATTATACTTGCATGTAATTTGTTGGCCAGGTAACTGTCTTCCAAATTTCTTGGCATGAATGAGTGAGCGCCTCCAGTGCTTTATCTGTAACATGTTGCAACATCTTAACGGGTGTTCCATCAATTATTGGACTTCTTCCTTCAGTACCATCAGTTCTTGACCATATATGCTAACTCCTGAAATGTCTGAATGTCAAACAATTCTTCCTGGTATAGTGAGTGACTCTGTGTAGTCCTTCCATCTTCTTTTGATGCTTCCTGTATCATTCAATATTTTGCCCATAGAATCCTTCGATATTGCAGCTCAAGGCTTGAACTTTTTCTTCAGTTCTCTCAGCCTGAGAGATGCCAAGTGTGTTCTTCCCCTTCAATTTTCTAGCTCCAGGTCTCTGCACATTTCATTATTATACTTTACTTTGTCTTCTCAAACTGCCCTTTGAAATCTTCTGTTCAGCATTTTTACTTCATCATTTCTTCCATTCACTTTACCTACTCTCCATTCAACAGCAAATTTCAGAATCTCTTCTGAGATTCAAACAACCATTTTGTCTTTTTCTTCCTTTCCTGTCTTTTCTATGACTTTTTGCTTTCTTCGTGTATAATGTCCTTGATGTCATCCAACAACTCATCTGGTCTTTGGTCACTAGTGCTCAATTAGTCAAATCTGTTCTTCACGTGGTCTCTAAATTCAGGTAGGAAATACTCAAAGGCGTATTTTGGCTATTGTGGACTTGTTTTCATATTCTTCAGCTTCAACTTAAAATTGCATGTGTGCAACTGATGGTCTGTTCCATGGTGGTCCCTGGCCCTGTTCCGGTTGATACTGAACTTCTCCATAGTCTGTTTCCACAGATGTAATCAATTGGATTCACATGTATTCCATCTGGTGAGGACTACATGTATAGTTGCCATTTATGTTGTTGAAAAAATGTATTTGCAGTGAGTAAGTCATTGATCTTACAAAATTCTATCATGAGATCTCCAGATCATTTCTATCACCAAGGACATATTTTCAAACTACCAATGCTTCTTTGTTTCCAACTTTCCCTTTCCAGTTATCAGTAATTATCAACACACCTCAATACACATCTTGATCAACATATGTGCTTAACTGTAAAATACTCCCTTTTGTGATTCTTAGAAGACTCCCTGGTTTCTTTTCAAAAGCAAAAAGTACTTCTTCTTAAAGTGCCCTTTGCAGAAATCTCACTCCTTTTTCCATAAGTTTGAGTTAGGAGTTTTTATCTTATAGCAGAGCAGTATTAACATCTAGTTGGCTCACCTAGACAACAAAGAGACTGACCATGGGGCTCACCATGTGGTTGCTGGAGAAGGTGTCAGTAGAGAAATGTAAAGACTGAATTAAATTTTAGCTAATGTGAAATCTTGGCAGAGAATGTTTAATAAATAAATGCCTTAAGAGTAAAATAATATATATACTTGGTCAATTTCAGATTGCAGAAGTTGATATAAATCTTCAATTTCTTCATTTTTGGCTTTAGTGGTTGATGTATAAATTTGACTAATGTAAGTATTAACTGGTCTTCTGTGTAGACATATGGATATTATCCTATCACTGACTGCACTGTACCTCAGAACAGATCTTGAAATTGGATGTTGTTGTTGTTGTTATGTGCCGTCGAGTCAAACCTGACTCATAGCGACCCCCCCTTGAGTTTCCGAGGCAGTATCACTACGGAAGTAGGATTGCCCAACCATCCTACCGAGGAATGGCTGGTGGGTTTGAACCGCCAGCCGTCTGGTTAGCAGGCAAGTGTCTTAGCCACTATGCTACCAGAGCTCCCTGAAATTGGATAGCCATATGCAAAAAAAGTAAACTTGGATGCATGTTTTACATCATATACAAAAATTAGCACAATACAGATCACAGATCTAAATTTAACACCTAAGTCATAAAAATTCTAGAAGAAGAAAATCTTTGTGACCCTGGATTAAACAAAGATTTCTTAGATGTGACACCAAAAACACAACCCAAAAAGGAACAAGTTGATATACTGGACTTCATCAAAATTCAAAACTTCTACTCTTCTAAAGACACTGTAAGAGAAGGAAAAAACAAGGCATAGAATGGCAGAAAATCTATGCAAAGGGTGTATCTGATAAAGAATTTGTATCCAGAATACATAAAACCAAAACACCAAACTGATTTCCATCGAGTCAATACCAACTCATAGCAACCACTATTAGGTTTCCAAGGCTGCAAATCTTTACGAAAGGAAACTGTCCAATCTTTTTTCCACAGAGAAGCTGGTGGATTCCAATCACTAACCTTCTGGTTAACAGTCAAATCCCTTAACCACTATGCAACCAGAGCTCCTTTAGAATATATAAACAACTCTTAAAATTCAACAATAGGAAAAACAACCCAATAGAAATAAATGGACACAGATTTGAACACTTCACCAATGGAGATATACAAGTGGAAATAAACACAAGAACATCTTCAGTCATTAGAAAATGTGAATTAAAATCATAATGAACTAACTACAGAACTATGAGAATGACTAAAATGAAAAAGACTGAACACATTAAGTGTTGGCAAGAATGCAGAGCAATTGGAACTCTCATACAAAGCTTATAGAAATGGGAATGGGAATGTTACAGCCACTTTGAAAAAAGTTTCACAATTTCTTCAAAAAGTTAAACATACACCTACCACATAATGCAGCCTTTCCACTCCCAAATATTTACCCAAGAGAAAAAGAAATGTATAGTCATGCAAAAACTTGTACACAGATGTTCAAAGCAACTTATTTGTATTAACCAAAAACTAGAAACCATCCAAATGTCTATTAACAGAAGAATGGATCAACAAATTGGGGTATATCCATACAATAGAATATTATTCAGAAATAAAAAGAAATGAATTATTGATAAACAACAACATGGGTGGAGTACAAAACAGTTATATCGAGTAAAAACAAAAAAAACAGAGTATGTACTACATGATTCCACTTCCATAAAACTCTAGAAAATGCAACCTACATTGAGAGAAAGCAGATCAGTAGTTACCTGGAGATGGACTGGAAGTGAGTGGGAAGGAAGGGTCATTAAAGAACATGAGAAAACTTTTGGTATGTTCATTATCTGTATTGTAGCTATGGTTTCACATGTATACATATATCCCAAAATGTATCAAATTATATACTTTAAACGTGTGCAGTTTATTGTATGTCAATTATACCTCAATAAAACTTACTGGGAAAAAAATATATACATATGGGCTTTGGAGCCAGTCTGCCAGGGACCTAACCCAGCTCTATCTCTAGCCAGCCATATGAGCTCAGATCAAGAATTTATTCTCTCTGTGCCTCAGTCTCCTGAGCAATGACTACAAAGGGTTACTGGAGGACTGTGTAAATTCACTGAGCCAGCAATGCTGGGCACATATCGAGCCCAGTGGATGTTAGATGCCACAGCCACATAGCATGGGACTCTGCTCTGCTTCCTGATTACCTGCCCAGATCCCTCCCTATTGACAGTACTGCAAACAGGAAGAAACCATGTCTCGCTTATCTTCTTCAAGGTCCAGAATCAGCCTGGGATGACTGCTGGAGAATCAACAATGGCAGGAAGAAGTGACACATTGCAAGAGGGGCATCCCTCCAAGTAGTCTCTCCTGTTGGTGTCCCCAAGCTGACCCACAATGCCTGAGAAGGAGTAGGTGGCATGAAGTGAGTGACTGGGAGGTAGCCAGAGCTGGGAACCAGCTTCCACAAAATCACCTGAGCTCATTTCTAGGGCTAAAAGAAGACTCTCTAGCGTAAGAAAACATGAACTCACTTACAGACACAGAACAAGGGCCACTAACCAAAACAAGAGAAGAGAGACTGAGATGAAGAAGGGAAGCAGAGTCTTGGAAATGAGGAGAGATTTGGTCTGGAGCTCACAGAAGGGCCTGGTGAAGCTTGCAACACCCACAAGCATACAGGAGAGGAAGGGTGTTCCTGCAGACTCACCGTCACTCCTGTGCCTCCAGATTCTACACCCCTCAGTTCTTAGTGAGTGTTGGGCCCAGGGCGCTTCCCATGCTCCAGCCGGGAGATGACATCTGGTTTCAAGCCTCGGTTTCCTGTTCCAGAGAAAGGAAGTGAGACTTGATGATTCTTTCTGGATCCAGGTAGAACCTGTCCATGGTCAGCACCTCTGTGCTGGTCATAACCTCCTCAGCCATCTGGTCTCCAAACCCTGGTAACAGACTTAGGCCTGTGTCCCATTTGAAGAAAGGTCAAGATGCAGCTTTTCTGGGGGCTGTGGATAAGGCACAGAGTTTGGGGTATGAACACATCATGGAAGAAAACTTATAGGAGGTGTTAACGCCCAGCAGAGCAGCCCAGGACCCAAGCAGAAGGGCTAAAGAAAATAGCACATTCCAGTATAAGGAAGACAGGGCTCTGAACCTGAATAGATTCAAATCCTAAATTTTCCACCAACTGCCTGTGTGCACATGGGTAAGTGATGCTGTTTGTCAGCCTTGCGTTCATCTCTGAATTGTGTGTCACAACCTATTCTACAGACACATGAAGACTAACACAAGAGATATGACTATACTAGATGCTCCATGAATAACATCGTCCCATACTTCCTATATGGAAATCAGGGAGGCTCCCAGTCCTGCACCGCACAATCCAGGTCTGCCTGGGACCAAGGTCTGGATCACCTGTCTCTGGGCCTAGGGGATGAGAAGCCTCTGAGCCTCCAGCCCCAGACAATCTTTCAGTCCCTCAGCTATTCATAGAGTTGAGTCCTGGGGAGGGGCCTTACCCAATGAGACCAAGTTCCCATAGGTCTCCAGCATCACATCCCTGTAGAGGTCCCTCTGAGCAGGACCTAGGTGGTCCCACTCCTCCTGGGAGAGGAGCACAGCCACATCCTCGAAAGTCACTGCAACCTGGAATGACAAGATCTTGCTGCAACCCGGGTCAGGCCCAGGGTGGGGTCTGTAAAAGTGCTGAGGAGGCACTAGGCTCACAATGGGCAAAATCCCTCTGAGTATATGTACCAAGTTTCATCTTCCCCTCTAGAGTGGGTTCTTCAAGGCACATGGAGTCATCTTTAACACCCCTGACCTTGCCTTCCACTGCACCCAGTCTAGGGACTGTGGCACCACAGTGGGGAACACGTTTTAGGGACTTGAATTCCACTGGAACCAGCTAAGGAAGGGTGGAGGCCACACTGAGGCTGGGTCAGTGCTGGGGCCTCTAAGAAGACCACTCACCTGTGGCCCAACAGGAATGAGCTGCTTGACGGCCATCACTGGGTCTCTGGAGCTTGTCCTAAGGAAGCAGCAGAGCTGGAGGGAAAGTGTGATAGTGCCTGATTGACCTGCTCCCTTGAGACTTCTGGGCCTGGACCCAAACAAAGACTACTGAAAACCTTGGAAAGGGCAGGTATGCTGGCCCCCTGGTGGCCTCTGGGTCCATACCCCTCCCCTGCCCCTAGAATCAGTAGCCCCTGCTATGATGACACCACAAGGCCAGCCACCACATGAAAACTACATCCCCCAGCATGTTCCTTGCTAGAGGAGACAACTCAGGTCACCTACCCATGATGTTCTAAGCAATGGATACACAGCTGTAGCACACAGATGAATGGGGAGCCAGACACACGCCTATGCCAGGTGACAAGGGCTAAAAAAAGAATAAAGTAGCACAAGAAGCAGCAATAGTCAGGTAGGAGGTATTTTACATGAGAGGGCCAAGGGGTGTACTTTTGATAGAGTGACATCAAAGCAGAAATCTAGACAGAGTGATGACAGGCTCCATAAGGACACGAGGCCAAGAACGTCCCAGGCAGGGAGAAGCTCAGGTACAAAGGTCCTGAGGTACGAGCCTACATGGTGTGTTCCAAGAAGGGCATGGGGACTAGAGGGGCTGAAGCAGAGTGTGGAGGGCAACAGAGAGGAGGGCAAGGTGCCTGGTAGGCTGCTGAAGAACTGACTTTTACACTGACGAGACAGGAAGCATCTGGAAGGTCTGAGCAGAGTGCTATGACCTGACGCATGCAGCTGCTTTGAGAACAGACTGAGAAGTAAAGGTGGAAGCAGGAAAGCAGCTGGAAGCTCTAGCAACAATCCCCCGAGAGACAACAGTGTCTCAGACTAGAGTGGCGATAGCAGAGGCGATGAGATCAGAATGGGATGTATTTCAAAGGGATAGTCACTAGGATTTGCTGAAGTATTAGATGTGGGGTGAGACACCAAGATTTTGGCCTAAGCAACTGAAATGATAAAACTACAACTTACAAGAATAAGATTGCAGGAGCATATTGGAGTGGCAAAAATTAAAAGCTGTTTTATACATGTTATGCTTATGATGGCTATTAAACTTACAAGTAAAGAATCAAGGCATTTAGCTACACAAGTCCAAAGCTCAAGAGAGAGGGTGAGGTCAGCTGGATACACAACGGACATTGTCAGTACACAGATGACATTTTAAATCGTGGATCTGGTTTTATTTTAGCACTGACAGGTGACACTCATGAGGTGTCAGTTCCAGGAAAACCTTCCCAACTGGCCTCTGCAGACATAGCTGGCCATTCCCCTGCCTCTCCCACCATGCAAACAGAGTCCTTAATTGGGTCTAGAGGTGACCACAGACCCAGTTCTGGCCAATAAGACATTAAAGGAACTTTGCTAAGAGCCTTCGAAGAAGGACCTTTCATCCCTGATGATAAAAAGGAACAAGGAGTCTGGAGTGACCACAAAGAAAAGACAAGAGAACCTCAAAGACACATTCTGGAGCCCGACATCCCAGAACAACCATGTCTGTCCCATCCTTATCATTTAAGCAACTGTTGAGTCAATTTTCCTCTGTCTGGCACCTTATTGATGCACAGCCCACCCAACTCATTTCTCCTGGGTCTTCATAGCATCTACATCGGAGGCACACCTGGGTCACAGGCAGCCTCTGGGTCCCCAGCCAGCACTTGCCTTCGACTGGCCCCTGCTGTTCATCCCCTTTATGTATGACAAGTGGTCCTTCTTAATGCTCCTGCCTTCACTTCCAGACTCATCTGGGAGGTGTGTGATGCTGTTATTAGGAGCACAGACTCAGGACCCCAACAGGACCTAGTTCCAATCTTGGCTACACCAACTACTAATGCAGGGGCCTCAGGCAAGTGACAAATTTCCCTACAGACCCCAATATGAGAATAACATCACCACTTTATTTAAGTACCTGCTTTGTAGAACTAAACGAAAGGATGTGTACCAAGTGCTTAGCACAGTGCTTCAAACCACAAACAAAAACTACTAACTAAATCTTAACTTAGATTAAAAAAAAAAAAAATCAGTCACTGGTGTCAAATCGGGCCGACTAACAGCGAGCCCTCCTCCTTGGGTTTCCGAGGCGATATCTCTACGGAAGCAGATTGCCCCAACCTGCCTTCTGAGGAGTGGCTGGTGGGTTTGAACCGCCGGCCTTCTGGTTGGCAGTCCGATGCCTTAGGCACTAGGCCACTATTAGATTAGGTCAGAGTTTACGGAGTACCTCTGAAGGAACGCTGAGTGAATGCTGGCCTCGCTCTAGCGCTCCCTGAGGCCTCTTCCCCGAGTCGTTTTCACATCTTTATCCTTTACTCCTGTTGGGCGGAAAGTGCTTCGCACCCTCCGGAGGAAAACACAGTTGGGTACATCCCCGGACACGTCCCAGGACCCCGTCTCTCGCAAGGCCTTCTTCATTTACCCAGCTGCTCCACTCTGTCCCTGCCCGTCCTAACTCTAAAGTGGAACCGCTCTGGGCACTTCTTCCCTGGGCCAGTGAGGCCCCTTTGAGCCCGGTTCCGTCGCGCCAGCCCCAGAACCACTCTGACAGCTCCTCGTCAGGCACCAGCGGCCCAGGTCTCACCCAGCTCACTGCCTCCCAGGAGAAAACAGCCGCGCGCGGGCCGCGGCCGACCCCCTGGGCCGGAAATGCCTGACCTAAACTTCCGCCCCCTCCCCCGCACACTCCAGGGGTCTGTGGAGTCGCTCTAGCCTTCACAGACGACTCTATGAATCGGTGGCCCCAATCTATTCCCGTATTTGTGTTAGCGCCGAGGCTTCGCGTGAAGGAGGGCCGAGCTGGAGAGGACCTCAACCCGGAGCGGCCCTGCGCCCCTCCGCCTAGGGGGTGACCTTCTCCGAGGCTAGGGGCCTCGCCCTTCCTGGCTTAGGGCCTCTCCCCGAATACCCCTCTCCGGCCCACAGCTCCGTTGACTAAAGCTGCAAGTACTAAGAACTCAGCTCGCTCTCACTGTGTGCCCGGCATAGATTTAAACGCGTACATATTTACTCCTTACAGCACCCCACGAGAGGGTTTCTGTCAGTATCCTTATGTTATGAGGAAACCGAGGCACAAAGAGGTTATGTAACTGTCCCAGGTGGAGCAGGCGCCTGGTGCCTGAGAGGGTCCTGCCCTCAAGTCGCTTTCAAGACGCACTGTCTCCCTCAGGCTGCCACCACTGAACTCCAACACAGCCCGACCTCGCATGCAGGAAGCCTGCCTGGAAAGCAAGGAAGTGCGTGAAGGGAGGATGGCTCAGAAGTCAGGCAGGACGAAAAGCGCGTCGATGGAAAATGGCGCCTATGGCAATTCGTTTTAAATTGCTTAATGAGCTCTGGTAGCATAGTAGCTAAAGGCACTTGACTGCTAACCAGAAGCCTCCCGGTTCAAACCCACCAGCCACTCCTCGGAAGGAAGATGGGGCAATCTACTTCCATAGTGATACTGCCTCGGAAACCCAAGGAGGGGTAGCTATGAGTCGGGTCCGACTCCACGGCACATAACAACAATAATGATTTCTCAGAGCTGGCAATGGAAACTTTTATGGAGAATAGAAATTGCTCATTGACGCCCCACTTCAAAGGCTGCCCAGGGCACACATCTGCCTTAGATATGCTTCTGGGTGGGACTCAGGCAGTTAAGAAATATGGGCCACATGAGGCTGGTCCACGGAAAGTATAAGACTAAGAGACAAGTCAAAGAAGAAATTGGAGAAGGAAGGACGTAAAACAGCAGAAAGGAAGGGGCAGGAAGAGGGCTGCCTGTCTTCAGCTGGACAGTGGGAACATTGAAACTTCAGAGTCATGGATGAGTGGAGTAAGGACTGTAAATACAAAACCAGAAAAAAATTAAATTTGGGTTTTCTCTGGGTCCCCCTCCCTTTTCCTAGAGCACTTCCTTTAGAATGCTCATAAGTGTGTTCTTTCTCTGACCCTTTGAGTTGAAAATCTTTTAAAAAGCCAGAAACCTAGTAATTGTCAAAAGTGTCAAACTCATGAAAATCCAGGAAAGGCTGAGGAGCTATTTCAGATTGAAGGAGAATAAAGAGATGTTATAGCTAAGTGCAGTGTGAGCCTTTTGGTTAAAAGACCTTTTAAGAATTTGACAGACTCAGAGTGGGATCTATGTAGGAGATCCTGGATAGAGTGGGAGAACAATGTGGAACAAAACTCAAAATCATTTAAAAAGGAGGGGGGCAGGGAGACCAGGTTTGCTGATCTGATAGAGCCTGGTGGAACCCCAGTCTATGGCCCCTAGCTGCCCTTCAGTTCTGAAATTGAACACACTCCTGTGGCTTCTAGCCAAACAAAAGGAATTTGAGCTGAACATTTACATTAGGTAGATACAGTCCTTGGAGAGAACGATCATGGGAGAATAGAAGGGCTGTGTATGCACAGGGAGACGCCTGGGAGGCCAGGACTGAATGAGAGGGAAGGACACAGAGAAGAGGTGGCTATGGGGAGGAAGTGGGAGGAGAGCTGTAGCACTGTGGGAGATTACAGTCAATGTTATGAGACGAAGTGTATGTGAACTGCTGTATGAAAGATGAATTTGCTCTATAAACTTTCACCAAAACAAAAAAAAAAGTAAAAAAAAAAAAAAAAAGAACTTGAGTGACTGAGAATTAAGTTACAGTAATCTACACTAACATCAATTTTCCACCACTCATCTGTCAGTTTGTCCTACTGTAGTGGCTTGAGTATTGCTGTGAGTCTGGAGGTTATGCCACCACTTTTTCCAATACTAGCAGAGTCACCCATGTGGACAAGTATCAGCGGAGCTTCCAGACTAAGAAAGACTCAGAAAAAGGAAGGGGCCATCTGCTTCTCAAAGAATTGGCCAGTGAAACACTTATGAATAGCAGTGAAACACTGTTTGATATATTACTGGAAAACTTTATGAATAGCCCTGAAATACTGTCTGATATAGTCAGGATGAGCCCCTCAGGTTGGAAGCACTCAAAATATAACTAGAGAAAAGCTGTCCTCAG